GGATCTCCTCCCCTTGCAATGGCCTTAAGTACCCCCCTACCCCCGCCCACAACCCCACCTGGGGGTCTCAGCCCTCTAGGGACCCATACAGAGACGTCAGTTCCTTCGCCCACCAGGCAGATTCATGACCTCCTGGTGCGCCCCTGGCTCTCTCTGAGCCTGGGGAGAGGACAGAGGATTCAGGCTAGACCTGAGGAGGCCTCCTAAGAGTCTAACCTTCAAGCATCCTGCTGCTTCCCCCAAAGACCCCGCTGCAGCAGGCCCACCTAATCAGCACTCACTCCCTGTGCACCTGCAGGCCCCTGGCACCGCGGGGGAGCTCCGGTGCGTTGATGGAGCCCGGTGAGGGGGTGAGTGATCAGTCAGGCAGTAGACCCTGGCCATCGCGAGGGGAGTCTGGTGCAAACAGGGACCATGGAGCAGGGCAGGCTTGGTGTCATGGCACTAGAAGCGGGCGTTTGAGCTGTCTCCCAATTAGAGGAGGAGGCATTTCCCAGGCATAGGGAAAGAAACACAGAGCCGTATGGAAAATAGCACCTGCGACAAGCGCTGAAGGCACGCCCCAGTCCAAACATCTGACAGCCAACTTCAATTGTTTTAAAGTTGCATTATGAATGAAAACTATGAGGTTTCCCCCCCTCTTTTTTCCAAGTTTTATTGGCATACAGTTCACATATCATACAACTGAATAGTCTCATCACATCAAGAGGAGTTGTACAATCATCACCACAATCCGTTTTAGAGCATTTTCTTCATTCTTGTACTTGTTATTAGCTTCCTATTTATCCCCAACTTCCTCTGCCAGACCCGCAAGGAACCATTAATCTAGTCCCTGTCTCTATAGATTTACCTATCCTGCATTTCTTTCTTTCTTCTTCTTTTTTTCCCGTGTTTTGTTCTTTCTTTATTTTTAAATTAATTTTATTTAATAATTTTGTTGGGTGCTTGTACAACTCTTATCACAATCCATACATACATCCGTTGTGTCAAGCACATTTGTACATTTGTTGCCATCATCATTCTCAAAACATTTGCTT